AGAGAGAGAGAGAGAGAGAGAGAGAGAGAGAGAGAGAGACAGACAGACAGACAGAGAGACAGACAGACAGAGAGACAGACAGAGAGAGAGAGAGAGACAGACAGACAAACAGAAGAGAGAGAGAGAGAGAGAGAGAGAGAGAGAGAGAGAGAGAGAGAGAGGGGAGAGAGAGAGAGAGAGAGAGAGAGAGAGAGAGAGAGAGAGAGAGAGAGAGAGAGAGAGAGAGAGAGAGAGAGAGAGAGAGAGAGAGAGAGAGAGAGAGAGAGAGAGAGAGAGAGAGAGAGAGAGAGAGAGAGAGGGAGAGAGAGAGAGAGAGAGAGAGAGAGAGAGAGAGAGAGAGAGAGAGAGAGAGAGAGAGAGAGAGAGAGAGAGAGAGAGAGAGAGAGAGAGAGAGACAGAGAGAGAGAGAGAGAGAGAGAGAGAGAGAGAGAGAGCGAGAGAGAGAGAGAGAGAGAGAGAGAGAGAGAGAGAGAGAGAGACAAACAGAGAGAGAGAGAGAGACAATGATAGTAATGATAAAAAAAGAGAGAAATAATGACAGTAATGATAAAAAATGATAATTTAAACAATAATAACAATGATGATAATATAAAGGATAATAGTAAAATAAATAATGGTATTAATAAGGATAATTGTAAAATAAATAACGATCATGATCACAATAATATCAACACCATAATCATGATTATTCATTGTATCACTATTTTATCGTTATCATCGTTATCATTTGTCTTACGAAAGAGAGAAATCTTTCTTTACAAAATTCGAAATATAAAACAAATAAATAGATAAATAGAAATAATAATAAAGATGATGGAAGAAAAAGGAAACAATCAGGAAGAAGAAGAAGAAAAAAAAAGCAAACGAATAAAAAAAAAAAAAAAAAAAAAATCGGCGAGCCTTCAAGCCAGACGAACATAGAGGTGAGAAAAGGTCACATTAGCCCAGACTTTCACCTTTAAAGACGCACCGCAAGACACGCGACTTCGCAACCGTGTCTTTAAAGCGGTTTTTTGAGGCGATGCTCGACGTACGCAAAAGGCCTCGTCACCATCCTCACCATCCTCACCATCCTCGCCGTTGTTTCATGATCATCGCCTCCATAATTGTCACTATCAACGCCATCCCCCTCATTGTCATTATCGTCTGCATAATTGTCACTATCAACACCGTCCTTATTCATCATTGTCAAATTCCATGGTCATTATCACCGACACATCTACACAATCATCACCATCAGCACTATCATCATTACAGCCATCATCACATCACCTTCAACAATACCATTATCATCTACATAATGATCACCATTATCACCATCACCTTCCTCTATCATCAGTATTGTCATCTCACCGCAGTCCACCGGCTCATCACCATTAATTCTCGATCACCAACGCCATCATCATCACCACCATCATCATCATCATCGTCACCATCCTCATCATTATCATCCTCATCTTCATCACCATCATCACTATCACCATCACCATTATAATCACCACCACCATCACCATCACCATCACCACCATCACAATAATCATCACCATTATAATCACCATCACCATCACCATCATCATCATCATCATCGCCATCATGATGCTTATGGTGAGGCCGGTTAGGAGGAGAAGGAAGAAAAAAAAAAGAATAAGAGGAAAAAAAGAAGAAGCGAAAATGGGAATAACAGTAATAACGAAAACGATGCCGAAAAATAGAAAATGGGAGTCATGGAGTGATAATGATAACGACGATGAAAACAAAAAATAGAAAGGCGATTAATAATAATCAATAATAATAATAATAATTACGGTTGCCATAACGACATAACGAAATGGTCGTGCTCATCATAATAACATTCGGCTAATCATGCTAAAAACAATATCAACACTGAAATAATGCCATATTGATAATGATAGTGATAACAATGATAATCATGATGCCAGTGAACAATGATACTGATTCTAACAATAATCTATATCGATAACTATATTGGTGATGGTGATAGTTATCCGTAATGGTGAACCGTATTCATGTTGACAAACGTAGGTAAAGGTACGCATGAGAATGAATATCTTCAACAATACGAGAGTTGTATTTGGCAGAAATACGTGCATTTCTGACGAGGGAATATTCGAAACCGGCGAAATACGTCTCTTGTGTTGTGAAAATGGTGTTAATGATAGTAAGAACAATGATGATGATGAAAATGACAATGATAATGATTGTGATGATTATGAAAATAGTAAAATAATAATGATGATAAAATAATAATAGTGATAATGATAATAATAAAAATCGTGATTGTTAGCAAACGTAATAATAACACGAATGGCAATGATAATGATAAAAATGATGATGATAATAATTATCATAATGGTAATAATAACGATGATAATGAAAAGGATGATGGTAAGAAAAATAATGATAATGATGACAGCTGCTGAAAATTGCAATGATAATGATAATATCAATAATGAAAATAATAATAATGACAGGGCCGGATCCAGGATTGGTAGAAAGGGGGGCGTAACCCCTAGCCGAGACGATTGCCGAAGCCACGAAGCCTAAGCGGGATAGAAAGTTTCTATCAACTATCCCTTCTATAGCTGACAGGGACTTTTCCCACCTATATCCCACGTCTTTCCCTGATGATGTGTAAAAAATTCCTGGTCTAAAAAAATCATTACTCTGCCAAAAATAGGGGGGACGTACGCCTCCCCACGCCCCCCCCCCGGATCACGCCCCCCCCCCCGGATCCGGCCCTGAATGATAATAACAATACTAATGATAATGATAATAATAATAATAATAATAACAATGATAATAACAATAATAATAACAGTAACTATAGTAATAACAATAATAATAATAATAATAATAATAATAATAATAATAATAATAATAATGATTATAATAATATTATTAATAATGATAATCATGATAACAATAACAAAAAAAATGATAATGAAAAAAAAATCATAGTGATGATGGTAATCGTGATGATAATGATAAACTGTTTGGGATAAAGAAAATTACAATAATAATAATAATGAAAACAATACTGATGATAACGATATAAATAATAGTGGTACTGAAGACAGTAATAAAGATAATAGTAACTAGAATAACAATTATATTAATAACAATGGTAATAGTAATAACAAAAATAATGATATTAACAATAACAACAATGATGGCAATAATAATATTGGTAGTATTGTTATTATTATCATTACCGTTAATATCTTTATTATTATCATCATCATTATCACTACTATTATTGTTATTATCATTATTATTATATTATTATCGCTGTTGTTCTTGTTGTTATTGTCATTATTGTTATTATTAGTTACTATTATTATTATAATCGTTATTATTATTACTATTATTGTTATCAATATTTTTTTATTGTTACCATCATAATTATTATCATCATTATCATTATTACTATTATTATTATTGTTACTATTGTTTTTAATATTGCTATTATTATTATCATTATTATTATCATAATAATAGTAATAATTATTATTATTATTATCATTATTATTATCAATGATTATCATTATTATTATTACTGTCATTTTTGTTATTATTATGATAATTCTTATGCTTATTCTTATTCTTATTTCTTATTATCATCATTTTTGTCATTATCACTACTAGTATTATCATTGTTATTATTGTTATCATCATTATTATTTATCATAATTATTACTTCTATTGGCATTATTAATATCATTATTATTCTAATTGCTGCTATTACCATCATTATTATTATTGTTATTATTATTATCACTATCATTGATAATAAAAATGATGTTATTATGATAGTAATAATAATAACAATGATAATCATCATGATAATCATTATCATTATTATTATCGTTATTGTTAGCATAATCCTCATTGTTATTATTATTATCATCCTTATTATTATTATCATTATTATTATCGTTATTATCTTTTCTATTTCTATTATCATAGTTATCATTATCATTAACAATTGACATCATTATTATTGTTATTACCATTAATGATATTGTTGATTTTATTAATACTATTATCATTATTATCACTATAATTAACAATTTTGCTATTGTCGTTATTACCATTATCATTATTGTTATTATTATCACTATTGTCAATGATGGTGATAATAATAATATTATCATTATTATTATTATTATTATCATCATTATTATTATCATTATTATTATTATTTTCATCATCATTATCAATATCATTACTACTGCTATTTTCATCATTATTGATATTTATTATTTTCATTGTCATTTTGATTATTATCATTGTTATTACTATCACTGCTATTATTACTATTATCATTGTTATTATCATTATTATGATCATTATCATTATTATCTTTATCATTATCATCATTAACATTATTACTGTATTTGGTATTATTGTCATCACTATTATTAGTTATGCTTTTATTAGTACTCTAACTACTGGTATGACGAGTAATTATATTATTGTCAATATAATTTCCTCCGTCCTAATGATTTAGTAATATCATTGACTTTAGCATTAGTATATCTTTAAAGAAAGACTTGAAGTGTTTTTTTTTTACGTGTTAATAATGATATTAATATGTTGAAAGCGAGAGTTTTTGTGGCGAAGCTAAAAATATTAAGATTTGATGAAATGATTCCTCGGGTCGAGCGTAAAGGCCGCAACCTGTTCATTATCGCCCTTATGCCCCATGGCGATTCCCGTCGCCTCTGCCCCGCGTCCGCCGCCGCCTCGGAGCACCCGCCGGCCCGAGTCCCTTCCTCGGACTGAGCAAAGATTCCATTATTTCCCCCAAAAGGGATGTCAATAATGCCGTTGGCGAGCGTCCGGCGTCCGTGTGACGGCTGAGCCCGGCGGCGCGGGGGGGTCGGATCCCCTCGGAGCGGCCGCGGATCCCCTTCGCCGGAGGATCGAGCTCCACGGCCGGGTTCTCGCGTCTATACGTCTGTCGCCACGTTCGCCGG